TTGTTTAACTAAGCATGTGTCACCTAGTGTTCTGACAAATCCAACAGGAAAATGGAGCATACAAAGGTTTGATGATCGAGTGCTATTTTTATCTTCCTCGGCAGGAAAACAAAACAGATTTTAAAAAATCCAAAATCTGAAAGGCGTACATACCATGTTTAGAGCTTGTGGGACAAAAACTACAATGATTTTAAAACATTTTGACAATAACACAAAAGAGAAAATAAATATCAATCATTTATTTTATGTCCAGCAGGCAAAATTCGATTACAGAAAGGAGGGTAGTTCACCCTTAAACTAGTTGCTGGGGCTGATTTATTTGTCCAGCTGAAAAAGTTAAAATGCCCGTTGCTAGGGAGCTGTACCACCAATCCATCCCATAATAACACACTATGCAATTAGCCATGCCTGGAGTGTGTGTAGCCCCTGTCAAAAGAATAGAAAGCCATTATCTCCAACCTCATATCCAGGTTTTGCTTTGGGGAGCGAGTGTTCATTATTTTTGAGTCCTCTTCAAAGTTAAGTATGCTTTTTTGGAGTTTGTTTTGCGTAAATTTTAATGATCACAATGAGACTGTAAGTCCATAAAGTCCATCTTTCACAAGTCTTAAAGTTTTGAAGGTGCACTCTGTATTTTTTTTGTATTTTTACTTTCACTTTTTATTTTACTTTCAGGATAGTCTCTAGTGAAGAGTGAGAAACTGTTAACATTATTGTGGCTCCTAATGTTAAATGCTAATGCTAATACATTTCTCCACATAGCCTATTATAAGGTGCGTTCGAATTCCAATACTATTAGAGTAGGTAGGCCTACTACACTAAGGAACGAACTTTGCAACTAAAATCACAAACTAAGTAGCAACTGCATTTGATGAAGAACGGAATTCATGACTGTTAAAAAGTATGTTCTACATAGGATGAATGTGTAGAATGAATTTATTCTGGATGTACTTCATTCGCCTGGTTGTCATCGTCATGTGACCTACTACATCAGTTGCATAACATCATTGCTGTGGCTTCATGGGATAGTAAAGTGTCCATCATATGCACACTTCAGAATCTCTCTGGACATAGTAGGTAATTCAAGTGTTTTTTGCCTGCTAATGAATGAAAATATAAATTCAGATGTACTACTCTGTTCACATACTGTTTTTTACCTACTATGTAATAGGGAAGCAGGCATATTGGACTCAGGAATAAACTTTCTGCATTGGCTAATATTGAAGTTGTCTTGAACTGATACTGACTCCTAGTGGCGTGGATATAGCATCTCACAGAAGTTTTCAATTAGGGCTGCACGATTAATCGAATACGATTGTCATGCGCATTTTGTTAAAAATGCCGGTTCTGTAATCAGCAGGAAATCATCTTCACGCGCTTTCAGATGGAGCAGAATTTACTACACATAGCCGTAGTTCACTGACAAGTTATACAAAAAAATCGCAGACGATTTTATTGCGCAATTATGAAATCGAAGAAATCGTTTGCGATAATGACAGCGGTTTGCATAGCTTCTCAGTGAACTACGGCTCTGTGAAGTAAATGCTGCTCCATCTGAACGCATGTGAAAATACCACATTTAATAACATGTTTTCTCCAAACTCACTTCATAACGTCAGTCGAGTGTTTGAAATAACATATTTCATAGTATTTAAGCAGTGATAAAGGCATTGCATTATAAATATACTTTATTTTAATGAAAATTATAATAATAAATACTCTGTATAACAGAATAATAAATCTTCTGTTTATTCAGCTGCAGCGATAGGCATTTTCGGGGTTTCTTCTGCGAGGCGTATTTGGAGTTTCAGCGCAAGATCGCCCTCTGGCCTTTGGATGGAGATTTACTGCTGATCACAGAACCGTGCTTCACTGAAATATATGCATGACAATCGCAGCTTACGTCGAATCGCGACATCGATTCCATTTCGATTTATCGTGCAGCCCTATTTTCAATTGTCAGTGTTGTTTTAGAAATGATGTAGCCGTAATCAACGAGAGAGAGATTTTTATTATTATTATTAGGTTGATTTGAATTATATGACTTTCTTTGCTGCGCTGGCTAATACTGAAGTTGTCTTGAACTGATAGTGACACCTAGTGGTGTGGATGAAGATTTCAGTTACCAGCGTCATTTTAGATCTTTTTTTTAGGTTGATATGAATGCAGTTTTGTGTTTATAAAAATATTTTAGATATTTTTTGTGTAAACTGAGGTAAATTACACCTTAAGACATAATTCAGGTCAAAAACCTTGTTTTGATCAAATGTATTTATTTTGGTCCAAAAAAAGATTGTTGCCAAATTTTGTAAGTCTAATATATATTTTACAAATAACATAACATTATAACACTTCATACAGACATTAAAGTAAATTCAGGATGCAAGAACACACACAAAGGGCTTCAACAAAGTGACAGTAAAGTACAACACTGACTCCGACACTGGGCCAAAATGTCACTGCAAGTAATTATAGAGCACAGTTGAGTTCAGATTCAGATCTTTAAATCAGTTTTGCTCGTTAATGGTCTCTCGCACCAGCTCATCTGCATGCCCTCAAACTCACAGCTGGGGTGGTACGGCGTTATTTTAATGACAAATTTTAATAAGTTTAAAAAAAAAATGTATCCAGTTTTCAGTTCAGATTTTTTTTTCATGAAAATCCACTTAATATTAGCTGCACATTCAATGGCACTCTCCTCTAAAACAGTGAATATACAGTTATATGACAGTTACATGTAATTACATTGTCTGCAAATGCATTAAACCCACAGAATAGAATGTAGTAATGTTATGGCAAATGTGACAAATTAATTATAGTGGTATATTTGGTCTCCAAATCGTAAGTATCGGTTTAGGGAATAGTGCATCTGACCCATATCTAAATAGTTCTGTCTTAAATCAGAAGATTTAAGATTAAAGATTCAGGTGCGAAAAGAATGAATATCTAGCGCATGAGCACAGAGAGATTTGAGAGTGCACAGGACAGTTTGAGTGAGAGGAGAGATATGTTTTAAGTGCGCGCACTCTCTCCGGGCGAGAGCAGCGTGTATCTGAGCGCGCGTGTCCGGTTTTGTGCAAGAAATCCGCGCGCGAGCAGAGAGATTCGCGCTCGAGCATTATATTAATGTGCTTTCGCGCTACAATAATGTGCTCTCGACATTTGTCATTAAAATAACGCCATAGGGTGATTCTCTCTTACACATATGAGCTCTTTATATATTAATTTATGGTTAACAAGTCATAGATTAATAACTGAACATGTTGCCACAGTATCCATCGGTCACAGGAGAGTTTTCACAACAATGAGGGTCAACTCATAAAGGTTGGTGCAAGCTGTCACATGTAAGTGGTATAAATGTATACAATTCATTATTAATATTTTTCGCCAATGGCAATTTTGACTGGTGTTTCTATTTGTTGTTTTTTGTGTTAAGTAACTGATTATGTATATATAATATTTAATATACATTTATCTGAAAATCCTATTACAGTTTACGCAATATAGTGTGATTAAAATATCAATCAAAAGGTCAGTAGGTGTTTAATGAACTGTATCTTATTTTTCCTGTACAATAATGATAAAAAATGTCCAGTATAAAAAATGTGACAACTTGCCCCAGTCTTCCCTTAACCGTGACCTGGTATTTTCATTGAGGAGATAAACCATCGAAAGTGGCTTAAATTGTCAAATCTGTCTCATCTGAAAAAGTTCGGTCAGAGAAACAATGTCCTTGGAAGAGTTTCAGAAGATTGCAGGCCTAATGATTAATGATGCCAGGCTAAAATCGTTTTACTTTAAGATATTCTCCCTGCGTGGGAGGCGTGTGCAAGTGTGTGTATTATTAGGTGGTACAAAATCACTAAAGCCTCAAAGCCTACAACAGCATTGTAAGGTATATTGACTGTGAAATGATGCAAGAATATATTTAGGATGAAAGAATAACTGACAAATATAAATTTAAATAAATAAATTGTCATTATTGAGCTAACACTCTTTAACTCTGCCTTATATTGTGTTGTCAATAAACCCATATAACTAATTATCTCAGATTGAATTTTTGTTCTGTTTGATGGCTTAGGAATTGGGATTTAGAGTAGATTTATTGTACAGTATATTTTAATCAAGATATTGTATGCCTAAGCTGTATTTTTTTTTGATTAAGTCCCTGAGGATATAGTCAGCATAAGAAAGCTTTCAGCTAGCACTTTCTGTTATTATTTACTCCACCTCATGTCTCACCTTTCAAAACCTTTTTGAATTTTTTTTTAATCAGAGGAACACAAAATGAGAGGTTTATAGCAGAATGTCCAAGCTGCTGTTTTTCAAACAATCAAGGTGAATGGTGACTACTAATCTCAGGTGAGATTTTAAATGTGTACTGACTTAAATTTCAGGCCGTTCCTCACATAAGTTTTCATTTTAGATAAAAAGACTTTGAAAATAGTGTTTGAGTCCTATGGACACATTTTATCATGCTTTTGTTGCTTTTTCCCTTTTTTAACCCTGGTCTCCATCCGCTTACAGGGTGAAGAAGAGAGCAGCTTGAACATTCTGCTAAACATCTCATTTGGTGTTTTCTGGAAATGAAGTTATTTTGAAAAGATATGAGGGTGTAATTTTTTAAGTGAATTATCCCTTAATGGCTCAACAATGGTATTTTATTGTGGTGTATTTCTAATAAATTCTAATTAAATACGGTTTTATATTAATTTAAATTATTTAGAAAGTTTTATGTCAAATTGAAAAGAGTTATTTGAAAGATTTCTCTTTCAAATCAAAACAGAAATGATCACAATCATCACATGCACAGTTTGACTGGTCCATGGTAATTCACAAAATTGGGAATTATTTTGTTAGTTAACTACATAGGTATTTTATTAGTTTAGTTTTTTGTACAATATAAGATTTAAATACATTGAAAGACAAATCAAAGTGTGAAACTTCATTAAATTCTACACAACTGCAAGTGAAATCATAATTGACAGTGTGTTGAATGATTGATGGTTTAACCAGTGATCCCCTGCATACATTTATTTTTTATAAAATGAGAGAAGACTAGACTCCTCTACATCTCAAAATTTTTTCTTCTTTTTTCAAAGCCTGAAAAACACACATGGATAATTTATCGCTCCCTTGAAGGATGTCTCGGGGAAAAAATCCTTAAGCAGTGCAACTAATAGGCAAACAAAGGTGAATGGGTCCTGAATTCCCCAGTGTCTCTGATGACCGGAGGTGCATGTGAAAGCAGTCAGTATGTGGGTACGTGGAAGTTGAGAAAGACAAATGCGCAAAAGTGTTTCTGAACGAGTGGAAGGGAAAGTGGGGCAGCTCCCAAAGGACGTTCCTCACGCCTGCTTCGTCCTGTCAATCAAAAACAAAGATGAACGTGAAGGATCTGCTTTTTCAAACATCCATCTGCACGAGAACCAGTACAGGAGGGGCCTCGGCTACTTTGGCCTTGCGTGGGAGCAGCCGGGCAAGACTTCGGTAGGATGGCGTGGCCCTCAGCAGGATCTCTTTGAGTCCGGCCCGGAATTCGCGGCGAATCAGGCAGTAGAGCACTGGGTTGAGGCAACTGTTTGTGTGGGCCAAGCACACAGTTAGCGGGAAAGCATATGCCTGGGCATTGTAGAAGGCCTTGCTGAAGGGCACCAGGTCAAACTTAATAAGGACGCCCCACAGAGTCAGGGCCTGATTGGGCAACCAACACAAAAAGAACGACAGGACGACGATCACAACCGATTTGGTAACCTTCGAGCGCCGCTTGTGCCGCCCCTGCTCACTTTCGGAGCCAGCCACGCCGCTAATCCTACGGCTTAGCACGATTCTTAGAAGTAAGAGATAGCAAACGGTGATCACCACCAGTGGGATCAGAAACCCAAGCAGGACCTTTTGCAACTGGTACAGTCCTAGCAGCAACTGTGGGTCCCAGCTTCCCGTTTCAGGGAAGCGGACCAAGCACAGCTCCTCGTCTGTCGCAACTTGGGCTATCGTGGAATAAACTGCATGTGGGAGGGTTGCTATCAGGGATACGACCCAAATGCCCAAGCTGATCCACTTGGCCGCAGCCGCCGCTGCTCGGCGACTGTGCATCTTCAGCGAGGACACAATGGAATAGTACCTGGCCACGCTCATGGCGGTCAGGAAAAAGACACTGGCGTACATGTTCATCGTGGTGACTGAGCTGATGATTTTGCACATGACTTTGCCGAATGGCCAGCGGAAGTCCAACGCTGTGTCTACGGCCCAGAACGGTAGGGTTAGGACGAACTGTAGGTCAGTTAGAGCCAGACCCATCACAAAGCAGTTGATAGAAGACTGCTTCTGCCGGTAGCGTGAGTGCAGCTGGTAGAGCGCCAGAGAGTTGCCTACAAGCCCCAGAGCGCACACCACTGAATAAATGAGGGCGATCATCACACGCACAGCCAAACTAGACCCATCACCTTGTAATGTTGAACTAGACTCCTTTGTCAACAAATGCAGCCAGCAACGTAAAGATAGGTTCCCACTGGCAGCTTCCGTACAATTGTCCAGTGCCGCACTGGTGTCCAGTGTGTGCTCACATTCTCCCAGCTCCAGAGTTTGTGTGGTGTTATTCCTCTCCATGGCAGGCTTCCACTCAGTCCGTTGTCATGGTGAAATGATGCAAAGGAAGAAACTAATTTATCTCAAGTTCATTGTGACCACCGCACTTTGTCTGCCAACATGCATAATTACTTCACCGGCAGCGAGAGCGCGGTCTCGTCAGTCCCTCTCTCTCGCGCACCTCTGAGCGCTCTGCAGCACGCGCACATTCTTTTATACTCCGATGAGCATGACGCGCCGCTCTTATGTCAGACACATACATGCGGTGCGTAATGAAACCTGTAGTTTTACGTGTTGTGGTTCATAATACAAAATGAATGTTAAAGTTATTAAAAGTCATACAGATGAAGCTCAATGACTTCAATTCGGTTCAATACAGAAATGTTGTTTTGGACGAATACATAATTGCTTAAAATATTTATAATATATGCTTTTGAGTACTTTTTGAATTAATCAAGATACAATATGTTCCTTAATGTATTATTGAAAATATAAGTGTTATTTGACATTTAGTTTCGATTTTTTTTTCGCGCACACACACACACACACACACACACACACACACACACAACTATATACTCTATATTGTGATGAGTTGCCAGCAGCTCATCATATGTCACCCTGGCAACACACACAAACCAGCTGAGGAACAATCACCAAGCCCAGCTGATGGCAATCAGTCAATCTCCTATAAGGATATAAACCCCGGTGGAAACAGAAGCGGTAGATATTCTTCTCTCGACTGAAACTAAGGCTTGTGCTTTTGTTTCTTTGCCAGAGAGCGACTAAAATAAGCTTGTTACGGATCCTCCACAGGCAGAACGCTACACAAACTGATCCCTGTCTGCTCAGAGGAGTTTCATCCACTCTCACCCGGGCCACTAACAGAGTGGGAACACTGGGGACACCCAAAAGGAGCACTACTTCACTAGAGGCAGACCTGAGGAGTATGCTATAGTCAAGGATCCCCTGGCCGAATTCCTTGTGTTTGATATACACTTACTATATAATTAAAAATAGTTTTCTATTGTATGGCTTCTCTAAACTTAGCTACCGCAAATGTATACATTTAATATTTATGTATTTTATAAAAAATGTCATCTATCATACGAAGATCATGTTTTTAGAAAGTTACATACAAATCATGTAATCTTATCTTGGCATGTTGTATTTTAAAACAATCTATTACAATATGTTACTCTTTCTTTCTCATACACACACTTCATCATTCTCACTCTCTCTCTCTCTCTCTATGTGTGCTGAGTCCACCTCTAATTTAATTCACTGCAATTCAATTATTCCAATTTATTTCAGACTTTCTCTTTCCATCCATGGTAACTTGGTCACACAAGCTTTTTTCGCATTCACAGACTTTCAATTACAAATCCTTTATCAAAAATCTATAAAATAACTCAGAAATCCACACAATGAAAGTGATAACTTATTGATTTCCTACTATGGAGCCTTTTGTCTTAGTGGTTGGGTTAATTTAGGAGGTCACTGAGCCAAGAATTGCACAGTTTTTGCCTTGAGGAGCAGAGAGACTGAAATGTATTTGTGCAAACTTTGTGTATCAAATCAGCACCAGATTAATCAAGTAAAAATGCAGCTCTCTGACAGGTGCAATAGATGTGCAGACCTGGAGGCCAGGGGCCCAAGGGAGACACGTCAAAGCAAAGAGACAGACCACAGTCCTGTGGATGAAAGATGCAAGTTTATCCATATGATTAAAGAGGCACTGAGTAAGATGGAAAAACCTGCTGAACCTGTTCACGCAATTACATTTGAATATTATTGCTGAGCACAAGAGAAAGATTATGTATTATCTATACTTTTGTTTTTTTCCCCCCAATTTTTCTTATCTGAAAGTAACTACCTCCTACACCGTTTTCCCATTTCTGATCACTGAAGATTATTCACTTTACACAGTCCCTGAAATGTCAAAGAAAAAAATTTGACATTTACGTTTTTATTCATTCCTATACAGTGGGGCAAATAAGTATTTGATACACTGCCAATTTTTCAAGTTTTCCCACTGGAGAGATCTGTAATTTTCATCGTAGGTACACCTCAACTGTGAGAGACCGAACCAAAAAAATAAATAAAAATCCAGAAAATCACATTGTATGATTTTTAAATAATTAATTTCCATTTTATTGCATGAAATAAGTATTTGATACAATAGAAAAATAGAACTTCATATTTGGTACAGAAACCGGTTTACAATTACAGAGGTCAGACGTTTCCTGTAGTTCTTGACCAGGTTTGCACACACTGCAACAGGGATTTTGGCCCACTCCTCCACAACTTTCAGGTGTTGGGGCTGTCGCTGGGCAACACGGAGTTTCAGCTCCCTCCATAGATTTTCTATTGGGTTCAGGTCTGGAGACTGGCTAGGCCACTCCAGGACCTTGAAATGCTTCTTACGGAGCCACTCCTTAGTTGCCCTGGCTGTGTGTTTGGGTTTTATTATTATTATTTAATAACCTTTAATCTGAAAAAAGTTAAATAAATATGAAATATTTAACATTTTAAAATTGACCATGTTAATTAATTTGTACTAACTGTCAGCTTTCATTGCTTTCATTGAACTTTGAAATTCATATTACATTTTTTTTATTTCAAATTTTCACTCAAATTGTTTTTTGTACATTTTATAACACGACGCTCTGAATACTTGATTCTAATTGGTCAATCGCGTCATCCAGCGGTTGCGCGGATGAGCGTATCATTCCGCTCATCCGCGCAAATAAAACCGGCGCTACTTTCTCTCCCGCTCTTTTGTTTTAGACAAACGCAACTGTCGCCATTGTGCGTCTCAGTTATCGATTGTAGCCTACTGAAAATTACCTCAGAGGCAGAGCAGTATTAATATCACATTAATATTGTTTCAGCATTCGTCTCGATGCTAGTCCGATTGTTTTGTACGTTGTAGTGGACTATTTTTTCATAGCGGACACCTGAAGATAATTTACAGGTAGGATTGTAAAATAATTCCATATCAATATGTCCACATATTTATTTCGGGTGTAGCCTTGTAACAAGCAAAATACAGTTAGTAAGCCAGTTATTCTTGCAAAAATAATTATGCTGTGTTTAAAAAACACTAATTTTCGTTTGGACCCCACTGCATTTGAACGAAAACGAAACCTGCTTCTGGCAAGCTTAAAACGAGAGAAAAACCACTTCCAGCATTCCAAATCAACAGAAAAAACTGGACTTGTTATTTCATCCAAAGTTTGATAATATAAATAAGCAGCTATATACTATGCAATCTCTTAAAAATTACTTCAGCAGAAAGAAGGCGAAAAAAGCGCTTCCAGGGACGCGGGAAGTAAGGGGGCTGAGGGGGCTGCAGCACCCCCTGTTTTTACATGGTTGCAAATGCAATGCCAAGTTTGTTCATTTAAATTTATTCAGTTTTAGCATTTAATAATTTATTTGTAATGATCTCTGAAATCTAAATTGTAAGTGGGCTATAATAAACCCATGTTTATCTTTATAAACATGATTAATTTGACTTGTGATGTTTTCTATATGGGATGATTAGCCTAATCCTCATGAACACGTGACGCTAGCGCATGGTATCAGACATGAACTGTACAGAAAGCGAACAAGATTAACTTTAATACAAGGAGATAATGGCGCAAAAGCGAATTTCTGATTTTTTTAAATGCCCATCCCAGCTAAAACTTTCCAAAATCGGCATCCAAACAACACCAGCCCCAGCACAAGCACCGACGTAAGTGAAACAGCCCCCCCAACACCCAACAAGGACACACACAACACCCCCAACCGAAAACATCTTCCCGCGCCCC